ATTTTCAGATTCACTTAAAAAATCATTTTATTGGGGCTCGTACAACTCTTATCACAATCCATACATACATCCATTGTGTCAAGCACGGATTCGTTTTTATATTATATTCTCTTAAGCATTTGGACCTACGTCATTTGGAACTTGTCTGTTTGTTGCATGGTAAAGGAGCCCCAATACACGTTTGGGTAAGTATTGGGCTGCTAACCTCAAAGTCAACAGTTCAAATCCACCAGCCACCTGCTTCTTGCCAGAAAGACCAGGCTGCCTGCTCCCGTAAAGACTCAGTCCTCTCAGAAGCCTGCAAAGCAGATCTGCTCTTGTCCCGATACGGTTGCTATGGGTTGGAATCGACTCAACGGGAGTGAGCTTGTTTGGTTTGGGGTTTTCGTTCTGTCATGAGCATGCCTTTCTCAGTGAACTTTCACAGTCAACCCTGAGTGTAATTTCTTCTAGGACTGTGGCTTCCAGAGCTTCTGCCCGTGAATGACCACATCTCATGGACAGACGAAGAACCTTTGTCCAGAGAGCCTCCCACGGGCACACACCTGTGCCTCAGCCATTCTGTCAGTTGCTCAATCACCCGCAGCAAGCAATCTAGAAACCGTGTAGGCTCAGAAGTCATTGTTGTTGTTGTTGTTGTTGTTGTTGTTGTTAGCTGACAGCTAGTCCACGTTTGACTCCGGGTGACGCCATGTGATGGAGGAGAATTGCTCCATAGGGATTTCGCTGGCTGTTTTCTTCAGCAGGGCTGGAACCCCCAACCTCACACTCAGCAGCCAAGTGCATTAACGTTTACACGATGCAGGATTCCGAGTTCCTGGCAGGAGCAGAGAAAAGCAGGCAGCACATTGGCACTGGAAATCAGGGGCAAGGGTCACCATGTTCCCCAAGCCCCAACGTCCCCCATCTCTCCCTCACAGACTGCATTCAAAGGCGTCTCTATGGGCTGCGTAGCCCTGGTGGCGTGGCGGTTACCCATTGGGCCGTGAACTGAAAGGTCAGCAGTTTGAAGTCCCCCAGCTGCTCCAGGGGAGGAAAAACAAGGCTTTTTCTTGCCGTAAAGACTCCCAGGTTCGGAAACCCACAGGGGCAGTTCTACCCTGTACTATACGGTGGTCACCATGAGTCTGCATCGACTCCGGGAGGGTGAGTTGGGTTGTTCTGATTTTCCATGGGATGAGTGGGGGGTGCCTTTATCTTTCCCTGCTAAAAAAATGGGGAAGAGTTGTCATCAAGTTGATTGCAACTTGCGAGGGCTCCGGGTGACCAGAGAGAGCTGTGGTCCTCCAGGTACGCACGCTGTGATCTTGTACAAACAGGGCACCAACTTTTCTTCCTAGTCACTGCTCGGAGGTTTGAACTGCCATATTTTTTAATGGTATATAATAATGATGATTTATTTATATTTGATATGCTAAAATCAGTTCATCATTTTTAAATCATTTTATTAGGGGCTCATACAACTCTTATCACAATCCATACATACATCAGTTGTGTAAAGCACATGTGTACATTCATTGCCCTCATCATTCTCAAAACACTTGCTCTCCAC